GGCAAGAAGCCCCGGCAATGTCCCATTGTTGAAAAAACAACATGTGCTGAAGAGATAACAATTTGCCAAAGAGCACATTGATTGGCCTAAAGAGAAATGACGCAACATTTTGTGGACTGATGAAAGCAAGATTGTTCTTTTTGGGTCTAGGGGCCGCAGACAGTTTGTCAGATGACCCCCAAACACTGAATTCAAGCCACAGGGCACTGTGAAGATAGTAACGCATGATAATTGCCCGTGCGTACAACGCTGTACCCAAACTAGATTTTTATCATTTTTTTTCTTCATTTTGTTTCTTCACAGTAAGCTGTGAAAATGTGGAATAGACTCCCTCAAGAGTTGGTTCTGGATATCTCAGCGGATTGCTTTAAAAAAGGCCTGGATTCTTTCCTATATATACATAATATAACTGGATACTAACATTTACAGGTAAAGTTGATCCAGAGAATATCTGATTGCCTCTCTGGGATCAAGAAGGCATTGTTTCCCCTGCTGAAGTACCGTATTTGCCGGCGTATAAGACGCCTTTTTAACCCATGAAAATCTTCTGAAAAGTCAGGGGTCGTCTTATACGCCGGTATACGGCGAGCCGGTGTCAGGGCGGCGCTTTTTCGAGGGGCGGCGCGGTGGCGGAAGGGACACTAAGTACAGGGGCAGGCAAGGGGCTGCTGTACCTTACCTGGCTCTGGTCCCGGTCCCACGACGATCCGGTCCAGGAAGCGCGGCTGCTCCTTCTTTCAGTTCGGCCCCTCGATAGTCGCGCTGCCGCTTGGCTCTGCCTCCTCACCGGTAATTGGGCGCCAGCACTGTGGAAAGGCACACAGGCAACCAATCACCGGCGAGGAGGCAGAGCCGAGCGGCCCCGCGAAAATCGAGTGAGGAGTGGCCAGTAAGTGTGCAGCAGCACCATGCTGTGACACTCTTGGCACTATTCCTCTCCCCCACTGACACTAACGATGGGGCACTGTTCCTCCCCCACTGACACCAACGATAGGGCACTATTCCTCCCCCACTGGCACCAACGATAAGGCACTGTTCCTCCCCCACTGACACCAACGATGGGGCACTATTCCTCCCCCACTGACACCAACGATGGGGCACTATTCCTCCTCCCCAATGACACCAATGATGGGGCACTATTCCTCCTCCCCAATGACACCAATGATGGGGCACTATTCCCTCCCCCACTCACACCAATGATGAGGCACTATTCCTCCTCCCCCACTGACACCAACGATGGGGCACTATTCCTCCTCCCCACTGACACCAACGATGGGGCACTATCCCCCCCCCACACTGACACCAACGATGGGGCACTATTCTCCCCACTGATACCAATGATGGGGCACTATTCCTCCCACTGACACCAATGATGGGGCACTATTCCTCCCACTGACACCAATGATGGGGCACTATTCCCCCCACTGATACCAATGATGGGGCACTTTTCCCGCCACTGATACCAATGATGGGGCACTTTTCCCCAATGCCACTGATACCAATGATGGGGCACTATTCCTTCCACTGATACCAATGATGGGGCCCTATTCCTCCCACTGACCCCAATGATGGAGCACTATTCCTCCCACTGACACTAATGATGGGACACTATTCCTCCCACTGACACCAATGATGGAGCACTATTCTTCCCACTGACACCAATGATGGGGCACTATTCTTCCCACTGACACTAATGATGGGACACTATTCCTCACACACTGACACTAATGATGGGGCACTATTCCTCCCACTGACACCAATGATGGGGCGCAATTCCTGCCACTGATACCAATGATGGGGCGCTATTCCTCCCACTGACACCAATGATGGGACACTATTCCTCCCACTGACACCAATGATGGAGCACTATTCCTCCCACTGACACTAATGATGGGACACTATTCCTCCCACTGACACCAATGATGGGGCACGATTCTTCCCACTGACACCAATGATAGGGCATTATTCCTCCCACTGACTAATGATGGGGCACTATTCCTCCCACTGACACTAATGATGGGACACTATTCCTCACGCACTGACACTAATGATGGGGCACCATCATTGGTGTCAGTGGGAGGAATAGTGTCTTATCATTGGTATCAGTGGGAGGAATAGTGCCCCATCATTGGTGTCAGTGGATGAAATAGTGCCCCATCATTGGTGTCAGTGGGAGGAGTAGTGCCTCATCATTGGTATCAGTGGGAGGAATCGTGCCCCATCATTGGTGTCAGTGGGAGGAATAGCACCCCATCATTGGAATACCATACTGAAATAGCATACCATATTGAAATCAAATCTGATATTTTTTCATTTTTATTTGGTGTGTGTTGGAAGAGGGGTAGTCTTATACGGCGAGTATAGCTCAAACCCTATATTTTAACAGGAAAAGTAGGGGGTCATCTTATACGCCCAGTCGTCTTATACGCCGGCAAATACGGTAAATTGGATCATGCTTTGCTGAGTTTTTTGCCTTCCTCTGTATCAACTGTGGGTATAGGATTATACTTTTTTATTTATGGCTGAACTGGATAGACTTTTTTGTCTTTTTTTTTTTTTTTCAGCCAGAGTAAATATGTAATTATATTCTCACAACTTGAGCTTTCTTTTGTTGGTAAGTAATCACCATTGTGTTTTTTTTTTTTTTTTTTTTTTTTGCTAAATTAACGAAAATCTTGAAAAACAAAGCTTGTTTTCTTTGTGTCTGTTATAAAATTTTGCAAATAAATAATTCGTTCTTCGTAACTTTAGGCCAAGATGTGATCTGCTATATATCTTTGGTGAAAAAAAAACAAATCATTATTTATTATTTAATCTGTATGAAAGTTATAGAATACACAAACTGTGGTATATATCTGAAAATCAATCAATTCTGAAGTACTGGCAGTCAATCTAATTTCTTGAGAACCAAAAATGACAGGACTGTACAGATATCCCCCAAATAACCTCTTTTTGCAAAGTAGACAGTCTGAGGTATTTAGTAAGGGGCATGGCGAGTTTTTTGAAGGTGTAAATTTTTGTCATTTTTTAGAAAATTAAGAAATTACAAAAAACATCATTCACTTTTTTTTTTTACATGTTGTCACCAGTGCTGTACAGCATCATCCTATAACTCGTGTGGCCATGACCAGGGACACTGGTGACAGTACAAAAAAAAATATAATTTTTTTCATTTTCTAAACATTGTTTTATATTTATATATATATATATATATATATATATATATATATATTAATTATTTTTTCACAGCACACTGTGAGCAGAGTAGTATAATGTTATAGTAACATTGTACTACTCTAGGGAAGTGATCAGTATTTTTAATTTTTTTTACACATTGATTGTTTATAGCAAAGAATTTCTATACCCTATGTTATTAATAAATTAATAATCCTCTACACTCAGATTGGCGCCCCCTTCTGTCCGATTTTTTTCATTTGTAATAATACTTTGGGTTTTTTTGGGGTTTTTTATGCCTGCCTTACAAATGATGATCTCCCAAATCTGCCTGTGCTCCATTGCTGGCTGCATATAATCAGTCAAGGTTGAGTTCCTGATGTTTACAAGAGTGGGACTTGCCCGTGAAATGAGCTTTGGAACAGCCAGTTATATTCCAGAAGTTCATATCACAAGGGGCTTGATTTACTAAATCTGGAGAGTGCAAAATCTGGAGTAATTCTGCCAAGAAACCAATCTGCTTCCAGGTTTTTTTTTTTTTTTTTTGATCAAAGCTTAATTGAACAAGCTTAGCTACTTTCCCGCCGCTCTATAGCAGATATACTGTTACAGAGCGGCAGAGGTGCGCATAATAACGTGTATATATACGTGATTTTCATTTTTGGATAGGGGGCACACACGCCGCTAGCCTCGGCTATCAATCACCGGGTCTCGGCCGGTGATTACTCACTGGCACCCAGTGATCGAGGAGCATTACCGATGGAGGGAGAGAACTGTATGAAAACAGTACAGCTCTCTCCCCTGTCAGCTCCTGCACACTGCTTTGCATGGCTCTGCATAGTATGCTTTCAGTTGAAAGCAATAACAGTCCACAGTAAAACAGCACACAGTTAACCCTTTGATCACCCCTCATGTTAACCCCTTCCTGCCCAATGCCGTTAGTACAGTGTCAGTGCATTTTATTAGCACTGATCACTGTATTGGTGTCACTGGGGATGTCAGTGACACCAAGTCAGTGTCAGAATGCCCCCCACAGTCCTGCAATCCCGCTATAAGTCACTGATTGATTGCCGCCATTACTGGTAAAAAAAAAATCCCAGTGTATATATACCGCCATTTGTAAACGCTATAATGTTTAAGCAAACCAATTCATTTACATGTATTGGGTTTTTTCTTTTTAGCAAAGACATGTAGCAGAATACATTTTGGCCTAAATTTATGACGAAATTAGATTTTTTTATATTTTTTACTGGACATGTTTAATATCAAAAAGTAAAAAAATATTGTTTTTTTTATTCAAAGTTGTTGGTCCTTTTTTTTAATAGCTCAAAAAATAAATGCACAGGCGATCAAATACCACTGAAAGAAATCTCTAATTTGTGGGAAAAAAAGGACATACATTTAATTTGGGTGCAACGTTTGCATGACCGCGCAATTGTCAGTTAAAGTAACGCAGCTCCAAAATGCAAAAAATGGCCTGGTCAGTGTAGGATATTGTAATTGTGTGTGTATGTGTATATATATATATGTGTGTGTGTGTGTGTGTGTATAGTTAGTGCATATTCACGCTATTGTCAAAAAGGATAGCCAAGGACTCCATACTACGTTAATTTATGCACAAGGTAATTGCCTTACCTTTGTTATGTTGGGGTACCCTGTTTTTGTGGAGAGTCAGGGGAGTTGCAAAGCAGATTATTTGCACATCTACCAGCATTGTAAAATGCAAGTTTGATTATTATTATTATTATATACAGTATTTATAAAGCGCCAATAGTTCGCTCAGTGCACTAGATTAGATTTGGAAAGGTTTTAACAACCTAATGTACTTGTTTATGGTGAAGAGAATTTCAACATGGGTGTCCTGTCCACCTTTGTACCAGGATTTTAACCACCTCCCGCCCACCATATAGTCCAATGATGGGCGTAAGGTGGTTCTCTCGTTCTGGGAGGACGTCATATGACGTCCTCCCATTCTCACCGCGCATGTGCGGCTCAGCTGTCAAGATGACAGCTCGAGAGGAGAGGAGAGCCGGTAATCGTCATTCTGCGGAGGAGACATGTACACTGATCATCAGAGCACTGATGATCAGTGTGCCCTGATGATCAGTGTGGCCCCAGAAGTGCCAGCTGTCAGTGCTGAACAGTGCAACGTGCCAGTGCCCATCAGTTCCACATCAATGCCACATATCAGTGCCTACCAGTGCACATCAATGCCACATATCAGTGCTGATCTGAACTGCCTTTCAGTGTCACCCATCAGTGCCAGTCAATGCCACCTATTAGTGCCAGTCAGTGATGCCTATCAGTGTGCATCAGTGCCATCTATCAGTGCCAGTCAGTGCCACCTAACAGTGCCAGTCAGTGCCGCCTATCTGTGCCATAAATCAGTGCTGCTTTTCAGTGCCCATCAGTGATGCCTGTCAATGCCCATCAGTGCCACCTACCAGTGCCTCCTCATCAGTGCCCATCAGTGCCACATATCAGTGTCCATCAGTGCAGGCTATCAGAGCCCATCACTGCAGCCTCATTAGTGCACATCAGTGAAGGAGAAAAACCACTTATTTACAAAATTTTACAACAAAAAAGTTTTTTTTTTAAAAAAAATTTCAGCGGTTTTTGGTTTGTTTAAGAAAAAATAAAAAAAACCCAGAGGTGATTAAATACCACCAAAATAAAGCTCTATGTGTCACAAAAAAATTATAAAAATTTCATATGAGTACAGTGTTGCATGACCACGCAGTTGTCATTCAAAGTGTGACAACACTGAGAGCTGGAAATTGGCCTGGGCAGGAAGGGGGTATGAGTGCCCAGTAGGCAAGCGGTTAAAGATTGCAGTTTTGCCAAAAACAAGACAAGGAGTATCTGTTAAACTTTTTAATTAAAATCTCTGCATACAGCTGTTCTAGGTCTAGACACATTGTTTGTAACTCATACGACCAAACATGCTCATAAAACTAACCAATCAGATTGCTCGACACATTGGTCAATGGGAAAAGGTGTATATTAGGGAAGGTTTTTTGGTTGAGTTGGTGAAATGAGAAAGAGGGTCCTCTGAAGGTGTCTGATGATTGCATGAATATTCTAAATACCATGTCATCTGCCTTGTCTGTACCTCTGTTTTATGGGTTGTTTCTGAGCTGATTAAATGCATCTCTATGTAAAAGAACTGTTGAACTAGTTGCTGTGGGAAAGTACATTTATAAATACACCAGTCATTCTCCAATTCATATAAGACAACAGTCAGGAAGGGGGTAAATCCTCTGGAGGGCAAGTAGTTAAGTTAGAAACAGATTGGCTACCATGCACAGCTGCACCAGATTTTACACTCTAAAGTTTTTAGTAAATCAACCACAGGTGACAACGCAGGATAGAAAATGGGAGATATCGTTACCCTAACACAGGAACTAAAATAAGTACATACTGTAATGCTAAACTGGAACGGGTATGGAACAGAAAAACTTAAAGGTGTAATGCTAAACTGGAACGGGTATGGAACAGAAAAACTTAAAGGTGTACAATTGGTGTAAATGTCCAGTCCAGAAGTATGTTTTGGACTAGTCTTACAACATTCATCAGATAGATGGGGAAATACTCAGGGATGTAATCTTTTCTTTCTTTTGGCAAGGATTAGCCATACATCAACCACAGCATCCACTCACCTTGGGAAGGTCCAGCCCCAGAACAGGTAATATAAAATGCACTATGCTTCTATTAACTATCACAAGAAGTGCATGAATAAGGACCTTTTTAGCAGGATTACTATTATTGAAAAGAAAGTTGCAGAATTGAAAAAAAAATTGAAAATGACTTTTGAAAATTTATAAACATGCTAACGTTTATATGAGATTTGAATGCACGAGTTTACCAGTAAATTGTGAACTTTTGGAAAAACTTCTTTAAGGTAAAATCTTAAAAAAAACTTTGCATACTTTGTGCAAGTCTTCAACTTTCTCTTATATACATAATGGAGTTTTATAAGATTTTACATGAACGGTCATGGGTTTAGGCACAGCCAGCACTGTAATTCATTGCATGTGGTAGGTTATCTAAGTCTTTTCCGTAAGATTTGGGCTTTTGGAGAACCTCTTAACTTTCTCCATTTATACAATGTGCTCGGCTAACAGACTCATCTCATCAATATAAACGTTTAAAGTTACTCTATGACCAAAATAAAAAATGACATATATGATATAGTCTTTCAGTAGCATTAACACAGCAGTCTTTGTTTTTCTGCATTGCACCTGTTACCTAGTTTAATTACCTGGCCATCCTGCCAGTGAGGTCACAGTAAGAAGGTTGAGACACAAACTTGTGTCATTTTCCACTGACAGGAGTGCTTACAATTGTTAGCCTTTATTCATTTATGTAAAACCTTTATCCCATATTGCTGTAACTGCTTAATAAGTATTAGCTGCAGCCATGCTTCAAATTGTTAGTACATGTGAAAGTCTGGATCACGGTCTCATCTTCAGATGTTAATCCTTTTTTTTGCAACATGGTAAAATCCAGTACAGAACGATACTTACGTGTTTCAGCTTATATGGCCTTAATCATAGCTATGGCTATGATTAAGGCCATGTAAGCTAAAACGCGTAAGACTAATTTTTGCAGTGAACACTTTTGCACCGTATTTTATCCTGTCTATATGTAATATTGGGGTATGTGCTGTCACCCGTGCCTGTGCATCAGTACTTCCAGTCCTGCAGGTTTTAAGAGGTAGAATACTGCAATCTCTTTTTCTGTTAAATTGTTAGTCACTTATATAAAGTCCATCTATAGTCTACAAGTCCATTTAACACTACCCTCTTCACTTCTTGACAATGCTGCTGTCGAGAGGTGGCTGCATTGTTCCTTCATAAATGCAGTGGTGGAGTGAGCATAGCCACTCTAAGACAGGATCTGTGTGATACGGCCAATCGCCACATGAAAATAAGGGCTTGAAAAAAGAAAACGAATGAAGCCACCAACTCCAATGACTGGTAAGCTGCAATTTTGTATTTGGGTCTAGCTATGCTTTAGCCCTCAAAATGGTATACCAATATATTGCCACAGATAAAAAAAAAACACAGCTATGTTGTAAATATGCTTCTTTTAGATCAATTTAAAGCATTATTATGCAAGCAGCGCTGTATAATGGTAACATTGCAAATCTATCATTACTGTAATGTTTATTTTACCTCAAGAAGCTGGAAAATGCAGCTACAAAAGCATTGATGCACAATCCAGTGTCTGCCACTGCTAGGCTTATTATGAGCAGGTTGCTAGGTGTCCTGAGCTCTCTTATTTTGTAGAATGAAGCGATTGTCAGGCCATTTAAAATAAATCCAAGCAGAGCTGTAAGACAATGCTGGTAGTTAAGGGTAAAAGAACTGTTAAAAACACATCAGCTTGTATTATTAATGATCTCTTTGCCTGCCGTTTTATAACTAACAAACGCAAAACATATCCGTACTTCCCAGAATGCTGTATTGGCACCAGTTGTCAGTCAATAGTAACCTAAAACTTACTGGCTCAGTCCCACCAGCAGGCCCTTTTAGTGAAGGTATATTCTTTGCACATTTATGCAGTCTAGCTGCCCAACATCAAATAATTATCATATGTGATTATACAAATATCTTTGCAAATTATGGCTGTAGACTGCTTGGGATTTTCATATCATGCATATGGACATAGAATGAAGCTGGATATATACAGTTAAAAGGCCTTAAACCATGCAAAATGTAATTGACATTAATGGACATAAATATTCATTCTCAGGCAGACGCTCCAGTCACCAATAAAATGATAAAGCTGAAAATATCAAACATAGCCAGTTGCTACTTCCCCCAAGATTAGTTTGACTGGGGGTGTCGGGTATTATCTGTTGGTGCCTGCAAATAAGAGAAAATTGCCCAATCCAGGTGACCTATTCATATAGTCTTATGTTGGTGGACAGAGGTGTATTTGCCGCGAGGCAAACAAGGCTTTTGCCTTGGGCGGCATTTTCCAGGGGGGGGGGGGGCGCCGCCGCCGCCACTGCCTCTGGCAAAAGTGACACACAGGAGCCGTTATATAGGCTAGCATGTCTCCACTACCTACATGGGAATGGATCTGATCTATGAGAGGCTGCTGGAGGACAGGTGGAGAAGGTGTCCAGTGTCCTACTTCCCGGGCCAAGTCACTGGCAGATGCCACATCACGATGCTTAGCCCAGCTAGACCCACTCCGCCCGTTTGCCATTAGCCTTAGTCAACCCCTCCCCTCCTCTCTTTTATCCAGCCACACCCCCTGGAATCAGGATTACTGAGCAGCCGGATCTGCAGGGTACGCACGAGCCAGAAGGGAGGAGCCTCTGCTGATCTGTGAGTGCTGCCTGGGAGTGGACCTTACCTCGACTCTGCCCATTGTCTGAGTGGTGATTCAGGGAGAATAGAGCAGAGGGATGGGTGTTGTCTGTGGAGGGGAGAGGGAGATGATGCTGGCTGGCAGTGGTGTGCTGGGTGCGGCTGGTGATCTGCAGGATGGAAATGGAAGGGCACAGAAATGAGCAGATGAGCACGTGCAGTCAGCTAACTTCCCCCTCACAGAATGTTGAGCTGTGAGAGAGAGTAGACTGTGTGTGCTGGGAAGGGGATGGAGTCAAGTGCGATTTTTTTTTTTTTTTTGGGGGGGGGGGGGGGCACGCATCGAAAAATTTGTATTTTCTGACATTTGCCATGCAGAGAGGGGGGGGGGGGGGGGGGGGAGGGGGGTGGGGGGGGCAATGAAATGAGCAGCTGTATAGTAAGAATTATTTTTCAAAAATGGGGTATTGCATACAGGAACATATTTACCGTGAGGCAAAGAAGGCATTTGCCTTGGGCACCGATTTTTGTGTAGCCTAAGGCAGCACAAGTACAAAATACACTACTGTTGGTGGTTAGAGATTTCAATTTTTGAAGCAGAAAGTCAGCAGAGCAGACAATCATTTTCAGAAAGAGAGCATAGAAGTGGCATGTTTTTCACATGACAACTCTTACTGTGATTATAGTGTACAGTATTTTTTATACATTAGCACTTACTATTCAGGCTGTTCATCAGCTGACAATTGTAAATAAAAACAATTTAGATTTCAAATTTCTTAATATAATGTTTTATACCTATAATGTATGGTAATTTGTTGACATATTGCAGTGGATTACAGCACCAACATGCAACATAAATGACAAAATGTAATCTCATAGCAATAGATTTGTCTTTTGTTCTAAGCATAACATCTCTGAAAGATGTGTAGAAATTTCTGCTCTGATTATTACCAGTGATAAACCATCTGATGACATTGGTGCCAAGGGGAGGAATCAAAACCAGTGCAATTTATGTACCACTCATATGCCAGAAAGGAATAATTGACTATATGTAGCATATGCACTAAATCATATTTATCACTATAAACCTTATTATCTGCAAGGTAAAACTGACATCTAGGAATAATATTTTTTACATATTAGAAATCCGCTGTATATTTTTTCTGAAACAGCTCTTAACAAAAGCAGCTTTCTAGTTCAAAGAAGCATTTGTACATGCTTATTGCATTGATCTAATGAATAACGATGGGCAAAGTGTGGTAACCCAATTCTGTCAATCATATTTTAGTTCGAGGTAAAACTATTGCTGATAAGTTGTTATATATGAGTTGCATCTTGCACATGATCTTCCACAATACTTGCAAGTGAAAAAAACTGTGGGTTTGATTTACAAAAACTAAAGAATGCAAAATCTGGTGCAGCTCTGCATAGAAACCAATCAGCTTCCAGATTTTAAAGTCAAAGCTTAATTGAACAAGCTGAAGTTAGAAGCTGATTGGCTGCAATGCACAGCAACACCAGATTTTGCACTCTCTCGTTTTAGTAAAACAGCCCCAATAAGATCTAGAGCAGGGAACAGTCTTGAATCCGGTGAACAGAACCTGCAAGATTATTCAGTAAAGCATTGAGAAGAAAAATGATTGCTTGCATAGGGAGAGATTTACTAAAACTTGTGCACACAGAATGTGGTTCAGTTATGCATAGTAACCAATCTGCTTCTAACTTCAGCTTGTTCAATTAAACTTTACTAATGAAACCTAGACACTGATTGGTTATTATGCACATATGCACCAAATTCTGTGTGCACCAGTAAATCTCCCCATAGTAACCAACTAGATTTGTGAGGCAGATCAGTGAAATTGGCTTTCAGAGGTTAATACACGTAACATTTTAAATAAACCAGAATTGTTAAAAATAAAGCAAGATATTGCATTTTCTATGGAAAGCTATTTTGTGATATCTTCTAGTGCAAATGGTAACAGTTACATAAAATATATATGTATATCTTTATTTTTTATGAAACTCTATCTATCTAGACAGAGAATGAGAGGAGGGAGCTGTGTGTGTGAGATATACTGTATATCTGGAGAGAATGAGTGTTCTAAAGGTCTAAGCAGGTATCTGTTGTGCATATGTCTCATTTGAGACACACTTTTTTATCTACCGTCTTTGCCAGTTTTTTTTTTTTTTTTGCACACCAAAATCTCTGTACAGTTTATAAATAATCACTGAGTTAAGTATCATGTGTCTTGTTAAATTTTTTTTGAAGGGTATGGTAGGAATACTGACGTACAAAAAGGTCTTACCTTCGACTAGAAGTGTTGTGCCAATGCCAAAGACTTCAATCTCAGTAAAACCTTCAGGAAGGGGGTAAGATGTAACCATGTTTGCAAATCTGGTGTAGACACCCTGCTGAACTGTCTGCTGCTTGTCCTTCACACACACACACACACACGCAGTGTAAATGCCTCCTTTTAAAGGGTCTCTTTCACATTTAGGATCGTGCAAGTGATTATGTAAAACCTTTTTTTCTCAGTAGTTATGTTTGAAACATCCCAATCCCCTGAAGAATTTTCTAATGATGTGAAGGAAGGCAGCCCGTGCTATGCAATAACTCCCACCTTATCCTATTCCACCTTTCCTAAGTCGTATTTGCATACCATGCTATAAAGACTGCATTCATAGCAACAAGGGTTTTTGTGAATACAAGATTATGATAACTGTCTTCTCTGTTTGTGAACTACAAAATAATTATCAGAAACAGAAGAAAAGGTTCAAGGGGTCTGCGCAAAAGAATAGAAATCATCTATGTAGCTCCTAATTGTCAGAAATATTTGGTGTTTTGGGAGGGTGGTTGTTTGTTGGTAAATAACAAGCACTGAAAAGAAACACAACTGGAAAATTATAGTCACATTTATTTTCTCTTTTGCAGTAAATAATGGAGTCTAAAATAACCAAATTTAATAGGCAGTATATGTGAAACATAAGTTGCATTATAAAGAGATTTTTTAACATTCCTGGACACATACTGTATTCTTACAAAGTTTGTGGATTCTCTGTGTCTGGTGCTTGTGTATATACAGACATCCCGCTACAGCTTTTCCACCCACTTGTTGGGAGCTAGGGGGATTGTGGACCCTCTGGGTTATCTGCACATTGGGTGATGTGATCTCTAAGAAGAGCCAAGGCACAGAGTTTAGGAAGTTGTCTGGTATTTGTGCAGTGCACCCTACAAGAGGTGATGGAATTTACTATGGGACATTTCTCATGTCCCTCAAACACACTCATGCAAATGACAGGATATCTGGCACAAAACAAACTGAAGTAGAAAATGAATAGGTAATCTCAGAAAAGTGGACATGCCAAAGGTCAGGGGAGGCAGTGGACATGAGCAGTCAGATTCAGGGCTGAGGTAAAAAAAAAAAAAAAAAAAAAAGAGTACAGAGGACTGTACAGAGGTCATTCAAAGCACAGAGTTGCTAGGATTACAGGAAATCAGAGGCGAGGGTATCTTGCAGAACTGGAGTCCTAGGAACACATAAGTGCAGGAATAACTAGATCAAGGTACAGGGATCATTTGAGGCACTGGGGTCACAGGGACAGAAACATTAGGAACTGGAACTTCAGGTCAATCAGAAAGATTAGAAAAGAGGCCTGCTGATAGGAACACAACCTGACAGATAAATACAGAGGTAGATTGGGAGTGTAGACATACAGTAAGTTATATCGCTCACCAGGTGATATGTGGCAATCCCTATAGCTTTGTGTCCTGTGCAGCAAGGAGATTGGACCAGACCTTGTTCTTGTTTGTAGATCTAAGAATGCTAAAACAGCCTTGCATGTTTGTGAAAATACAAGTACCAGATCAGCTGCAAAGCTGATCCATGACACCACTCCAGGGTTACTCAATAACAGTAATCATATGCTGTAGAAAGGGAGCACCTTATTTACTAACCTTTTCCAGGCATTGATAGCTAGGATTCCAGTAGATGTCCATTTTAGAATTATAATTTTCCTGAGATAAAAGAGCAATAGTCATATAAATGTTTCTTTTTTGGCAACACCTAAATCCTTGTCACAAAATGCCAAAAATGCACCACTATGCGTTTCAAATATTGTGAATTAGAAAGTTATAAAAAGATAAAATAAAAGAATATTCTCCTGCGCCAAAATGTAGATGTAAATGATTAAATGATTAAAAGCAGCCTGTATTAGTAGTGCCACAGCCACAGCACCAAAAACAACAACTCAATATAAAACCAATTAATACGGCGCTAAATGAGCAAAATTAGATAAAACATAAAGTATAAACCATGTAATAACTGACATATATATAAGGAATGGCTGACATATATATAAAGAGTGAAGTAGACAGCTATACGGATAACATGCATGAAGGTGAGCAAACACGTGAATAATGTCCTTAATGAATAAACATAAGGTGAATGGTGTCCTTAATGGGTCACACAGACTTCATGCAGGTGTGAGCCACACTGTGCCAATCCTCTAAGGCTGGGGTGCCCCCTCACCTTCCTGCTCAGGCCCCCAGGGACCAAAGAGCTTGTAATGCTGTTTGTAATGATCCTGCTGGTCAGTGGATCCTGCTGGTAATAGTGGTGTCACTCACTCCTCCTGGTAGGTCTTAGTGTGGAATAGTAACCTCAGCACTGCCCGTGGTGTCTCTCCAATAAAGGCTCTCCAGTACGGTCACCAGTGAGGCAAGAGAGACTTACATAGTGTAAAACCTTTTATTATGGTAAAAAACAACCAAGAGCCTACTTACACGGGTCTAATAGTAAGCAGGCCTTTACACCTCTCCAAGGGTGTACTGCATTCAGGACTTGGAGCACCAAGATGGCGTCCACGCCGGATATGACGTCAAACCGTCGATCGTAGGAAGCTCCTCCCTCTGGCGTATCTACGCGTTACGTCACTCAAACACGTGACTTCATCAGGATATACGCCTACTAGCGGCGGAGCTTAATTTATTGGTCGATTACCCAATCATCATTGTTGGTGGGCGGTGCCGACCGCCATTGAAGTGAAGTCCAATGAGGGAGGACAGTCTTCTAAGTATCTTGGTAAAAATCTCAAACCAAAACTTGGACACCTAATGGAAAAGAAATTATCCACATGGTGGGACATGCTGACATATGAGAAATATCTGAAGGATAGGCTTATCCCTAGAAGGTTGAGATGGGATGTGCCCATAGGGGATGGGTTAACAGATGAACAATCAATAGAAGAGTGGTTCGATTTCTTCCATGAAAAAGGCCTGGAATTTATTTCATTTCTAATTAAGAGAAAACAAAAGAAAATGCGCAATTTAGAGAAATCCATAGAAGAGATTAAGATCCAAATAGAACCATTTAAAGAGATGCAAGAAATGGTAGGACTTAGTCATCGTTTAAATAAGGATCTAGAAAAAGCAGAACAGGAAATCAAACATAGAAAAACTAAGAAATATCAAAGAGATCTTAGTGACTTTAGAAAGGATCAGGTGTTCAAATGGCAAGATAATCTGAATTCCACAATAGTGACCTTAGCCAACACATCCCCGGTAAGGGAAACCAAACCTGCCCCTAAACCAGGCATTACATCGCAAGCCAACAGAAAAAATAACAGCACACAGGAGCACCAGAAAAATAATCGCACCCCAAGTAGTAAAGGGAACCCTCAAAATAGAGGGCCACCATATAATAGACCTAATGGGACTAACTATGGCAATCAGTGGAGACCACAATATCAACAATATCCCCAATACAGACCCCAGTATCCCCCTAGACCTAATCAGTACCCCAATGATCGCCAATACAGACCACCTAATAGAGACCAAGGCTACTATAATAACGAAAGGAACTATTACCAGTCCTACAATGTAAGGAGCCCACTCCCGATGCACAATCGGTACGATCCAATTAGATATGACTATCCCCAAGACCATAACAACCATTTTTTAGAGAGAGGCAGAGCAGTAGAGAGCCCAGAAAGGGAAAGAAGGAGAAGCCCCCCAAGAAACACAGAGGCTGCAGAGCAGGAGCAAAAGAAAAAAAGAAAAAGAGACCATTAGGGTTGGAGTTTTCAACCTCAGTGGGGCAGATCTCTCTAGAGAAGAACTGGAAGTATTAGATAAGGGACTCAAGTTTGCCCCACCTAAACCTGCCAACAAATTTAGCATCTATGTAGATATGTTGAAGTTCACTAGGAAACTCAACATTAAAAAATATTTTGCAGGGATACCAGGCAACACACATAATACTAACAGAGGGGCCAGCCAATATATACATACCGAGCTGAGGAACAAATCATTGTTTAACCCACAGATAAGTAGAAACAATCAAATTGAAGTATTTAAAAAGATGCTGCAACAAGATATAGAGAAACTCAAACTACCACGTCTATCTGGTAACAATTTGATACAAATGGGTACAAAGAAATTATCTCAGCGGGATGACATAGTGGTCAGACCAGCTGACAAAGGAGGTGGGATAGTAGTCCTATCTAAAGACCAGTACTTGAAGGAATTGAATCTGCAATTGGCAGACACTACTACATATAAAATCCTACAAAAGGATCCCACCGCCAACTATAAACAAGAACTAGAATCCTTGGTTAATAAAGGAATGCAGGATAAGATCCTGAATAAAAAAGAAGTAAGATTCCTTGTGCCTGACACATGTAGGATACCGGTCATCTACTTAGTCCCTAAAATCCATAAGGACCTCCATAATCCCCCAGGGAGGCCCATAGTGAACGGCATCGATTCTATCCTATCTAGATTGGGACAATATGTGGATATTTTCTTACAACCCCTAGTCAAAGAGACACGTGCTTACCTTAGGGACACTAAACATCTGATCCAGTTACTTGATACCATCCAGAATACGGACAATCTGAGAATAGCCACAGCTGATGTCTCCTCTTTATATACCATAATTGATCATGATAATGCAATTTCATCCACCAATTGGGGTTTGAACAAATATAGTAACTTACAAGTGAAACAGCAGAAGTACATTATTGACTGTCTAGATTTTTGCCTCACCCATAACTATTTCTGGCATGGACACCAATTTTATAAACAAATAAGAGGGGTTGCCATGGGTGCCCGTTTTGCCCCGAGCGTGGCTAACCTGTTTATGGCCCACTGGGAACAATATTCCATCTACTCCCAAACACCTAAGGAGTTGGCGTTATACAAACGCTATATAGACGATGTGATAATCTTTTGGAGGGGTGATGAGACCTCCTTGCAGTTATTTTTACAAACGCTTAACTCTAATGACCGAAATATTTCACTTTCATGGGAAACCAGTGAAGAATCCATTCATTTCTTGGACCTAAACATTGCAATCAAAAGAAATAGATTAACCACCACTACTTATTTTAAAAATGTAGACCGGAATGGCTACATTGCACTGGACAGCTGCCACTATCCTAAGTGG